AGGACGAAATGTCCCTAGTCCAGGAGGTGGAGGGAGCAGTGGGCGATGGATGGTTGCCGGACATATAGCGGTGGGTATCGTGGAACTGGATGATGAGCTGATAAGGTGCCCCGGTATCACAGAGCTCACCTTAGGTGCGGCTTCACTCCTCCATGGTCGGCCATGCCCCCCTCCTGACTGTTTTTTAATACACTGCATTGCCTTTGAGAAATGGCCAATAAGTTTAGAATGGCCAATCAAGGTTTTTTCTTAGATTACGTAGCCCCCTTAGCCCCTTTACTATACATGGAGGCCCCAGTGAAGTCATGTATCATTGTATTATACATTTGTTGTAGGGAGAGGATAGGTAAAGCTAACAAACTGCATAGGGAGAGATAACAGAAACTGTATTTTACTTCTGATAACTAACCAGCTGGCAATCACTCTACTTGCTGTCTTTTGTGTCCCTAATATTGAGGGCTATTTTTTTCTTCAATTCTAGTTTATGGTTACGGGCAGTGGTCACTTTTAGCTGCTGTTCATAGTAAACTACTTTTTTTGAAAAAATGGGGTTCTGTTTCAGGGAGGCTGTTTATTGTGGTTTTCATTTCTTTTGGGGGTATATTGTTTTTTGTTTTATGTTTATAGGGCTGCTCAAAGCACAGCATTCACTTTTTGCTTAATATATGTTTTTGGAGCTGTATTTTGTTTACAGCACACAGCTGCATCATTAAAAAAAAAAATCTATGTGCAAGAACAATGTGCACCTAAACCACCTTAAGTTATATCACAAAGGCTGGCCATACACTGCTCTATTTTTCTCATTCAACCCGCGGGCTGAACGAAAAAAAAATAGAGCAGATTCTTCCATGAGTGTGTCGATCAAGGAATCCCCACTGTTTGCATTATATTCTGACAGCAGCCCCACCGGCCATTGTCAGAATACTGTCAGCTCATTGGCTGTCAGTATTTCACAGCCAAATATGTGCTGCCAAAGTATGCTATGTGTGAACATTGTATGGTTTCATAACATCACTTACAACATCCCTAAAGCTGTATTTGAAGATTTTTTATGTGAAGGATTTGTGTTTTTTTCCATGTTTCCCCCAAAGCTGCATGAAAAGAACACTCTCCCCACTGTACAGTATTTTTTTTTACTTTGGGCACTAGTACATGGCAGTTCACAGCTCTCTATGCCTTTTTTTTTACAGTAGCTTATCCATTAACCTTAAAAACAGACAGAAATAACAGAAATCATTGGAATTCATCTGTTATGGTTCACCAAATGTCATGAAGGATTTTCTGAAACATTGCCAAACAAACCCAACCAGATTTGCTCCTCACTACTCAGGAGTTAGATAACAAAAAGTAAAGCATGCAGTTAAAGTAAAACTCCAGGCAAATATAAAAGTTAAAGAAATCTCACCTTGTATTATTTTTCACCGCTCTGTCACCTAACTCCCACTGCAAGTGTTGCCTTTCATC